TCACTGGATGCCGCCACTACGTGCATTTATGGATGACACGACTATTATAACGGGCAGCGGGGAGTCGGTGGTCCAATGGAGCGGTATACAATTCAAACCGCAGGAGTCTGTCAATCCTAAAAGGTAAGGAAGCGGCAACCATTTTTACAGTGGCAAGGAATAAAATCCCCACGGTTCTAGAGGAACCGGTGAAGAGCCTTGGTCGCGTTTACGATTCGAAGTTATCTGATAGAGCGGAGGTCCGGCGAATACACGAGTTACTGGCTACAGGCCTGCTAGTGATCGAGCGCAGCAGGCTGATTGGGAAGTTCAAGTCTGGTGTCTCCAATTCATGTTGATTCCAAAGCTCCTCTGGCCGCTGTTAGTCTACAAAGTGACGATGACTGCTGTGGAGACGATAGAGAAAAAAATCAACACAGCCATAAGAAAGTGGATTGGTGCACCGCCTTGTCTGACTGACGTGCTCTGTATTGTAAGCAGGCCAAGCTGGTACTCCCGTTCAAATCGATAACCGAAGAGTTTAAAGTCGGCAAAGTAAGACTCGCCATGCTCTTGCGCGAGTCTTCAGACCCAAATGTCACCGCTGTCCAGTCCGCTCTAAGGACTGGCGTCAAATGGAGAGTCCTCGATGCGATCGAATCCGCCCAGAATGCACTAAAATTGAAAGAAATTATGGGATACACTCAAACCGACCGTCGAGGCCTAGGTCACGGGAAAGCCAGTTGGTGGTTCAAAGCCGCAGAGCGCCGTGACATGGTGATACAGCAAATAGGGTCCAGAAAGCAGCACAACAGTCGCAGCAGGGCCATTGGGTAAGCCTGGAGAGCGCATTGCCAAGAGTACTCACATGGGGTGAGATCTGGCGAATGACCCCGCTGCGATTGAGCTTCATCGTTCGTTCAGCCTATGATGTATTACCGTCTGGTGTCAACATGGTCAAGTGGAGTGCGACTAACGACCCGCCATGCAGAGCGATACAGACGTTAGAACACGTACTGTCCGCATGCAGAAAAGCACTAGGTCAAGGCAGATATACATGGCGACACAACAAGGTGCTAAAAGAGTTAGCAGCTGTTGTGGACCAAGCTAGGATGAGGGTCAACGCGAGGGCCAGTCCTACCGTCGCCCCCATACGTTTCCGCAAGGCTGGGCAGATTCAAAAAGGTAGACCCAACAAAGACGCATACGCTCCATCTATGCTAGACTATGCGGGGGACTGGTTACTGGCGGTTGACCTGCCTGGCCATGAAAAGTACCCTGAGTTAATCCGGAAGACAGCCTGCAACCTGACATAGTTCTCAACTCTGCGGAGAAACGGCAACTCATCCTGATTGAGCTGACCGTCCCGTATGAGTCGCGAATGGACGAAAGCCATATGTACAAGCTCGAGAAGTACTGTGACTTAGCAGCCGGTCTGAGGAGGGACGAAGTGCACATAGTAAGAGTCTTCGCCGTCGAAGTATGCGCAAGAGGTCTCGTTTCCACTTCACTCTACAATGTGACTAAAGAACTAGGCTTACGTGGTAATGAATGCAAACTGACACTTAAACAGCTGGGCGAAGAATTTATCATCCCTTAAAGTCCATCGTGTCCCTCTGCCACCTGCTAACAAAGTCCAACATGTGTCCGGTAAACCAATCGTAATCTTGCCGCTCGGTCGTCCAGGTATGCAGACTGCTTTAATTATGCTACCGCGACGACTTCTTATCTCACAATACCTTCTGCGAAATAACCAATTCGTCTTGTCCCTGTCCGAATAACATCCGGTAATTTGTGCAGCAGGGGAAACCAACCCTGAGCTTCACGAACTCAGGTGGGCCCACTCTGAAAATGTATAGGAGCTCGTGGGCCGAAACATTTGTCGATGAGGTTACTTCTACTGATGATTGGTAGACTCCTGCTGTACATGCTTCCCTGAGGAGTTTCTTCTTATTGTATGCCTGGTTCATTTCTCATGTTAAAGGATCTTTAGAGATGATGTCAGTTTTTTTGTGTAATACAATTTTGATAGATGGTGAAAGCTTTGTCTTTTCAGTTGGTTTGTAGTTGTTATTCTGTGCATGGGGTTGCTCATGTGTTTAAATTTTCTGTTAGGGTAAGCACCTTTTCTTCCCTTTGAAGGCTCAAGCTCTGGAGGCCCGAAGCTGCCTCCAGCTCATGGATTGGTGTTCTTCTCATACCTCCTGTGGTGATTCTGAGACCAGTTTTCTGTATTTTTTCCAGTTTGTGAAGGTTTGATTTTGCTGCAGTGGAGTATGCTCCCATGCCATACTCCAGCTTTGGTCGTATGTATCCAGTGTATACTTCTTGTACAGTGTTGGCATCTGCACCCCAGCTTGTTCCAGTAAGTTTCTTCATAAGTATGAGCCTCCTTTGGATGTCTTTAATGTTTGGGCCCCAGGTTAGCCTTTTGTGGAATTCGACAAAAAACAACTTAAAACATTCAACAACTAGAAACTGAGCAATGTTCTTCATCCAAACACTCAACGTGGATTAATGTTAATTCAAACACTCAACGTAGACTGACTATATCGTCGGTCCAGTATTGTTTTTAGGTAGGCCCTGACCGCCAGGTCGATACCAAAGGAAACAAACACTGTGCATTGTTTCAACTGACAATGCGTATCAGTGGGTTGGTGTGGGTCTGCCTAAAAAACGATACTGTCCTGGCAAAAATATGTCATAATCATCCTAGCTCAATGATCAATGCTAATTTAAACACTTAACAAAGACTAATGTCAACATAAACACTCACCGATGACTGGCCTTAATTGAATTCAAACACTCAACATTCAAGGACTAGTGTTAATTCAAACTCAACGAGGAACTAAACAATGTCCTTCACTCAAAGACTTTTAATTATCTGACAAACATGGGACAAGCCCAGAACTGTAGGCGGCCACACAAAAAAACAAGTTTCAACCCAGAATGTGATGTTGGCTAGGTCCCGCACTATCTACCATCATTATTATGTAAAGCAAGTCTGCAGTAGAACATCAGTCTGCCCGAAAGAAACTTTTGTTTTCCATCAGCTCTCCCATTTTATGCACTTTCCCACACAAGGTCTCAGAACCTTCTGCCTATCTTTATGATGGACAACCCTCTGTATTTCAGTTTTGAGAGAAGATGTATACTAGCCAGTCGCTTCCCCTTGTGGGTCCCAGGGATGAACAACCAGAACTTTCCGCCAGAGTCTACAGCCAATGAAATCTAAGAAGACAACTTCATCACATAAAAATCAACACCTGGCACCCCATCCCACTCAGAAATAAAGCACAAGTACTGATTAGCACTGAAAGTTGACACATGAAAGAAGTTAAAAGTAAGGAAAGGTTTAAAAGGCTACAGGAGGGACCTTTGAAGAAATGACGACATTTCATTGAAGGAACCAGTGCACTTACACACATAAGTAATTTCCTATAGTCTGTGCTGTGTGGCATTGGTCAGCATTCCTGTGCAAAGCTTTGTGTCTCATGTACTGCCAATTATTTCTGATATAGATGTGTTTCCATACGATGTCAAAATGTCTAATATCTCCTTTGGTCTTTCTCTGGCTCTTTTGTTCTCCAACTTTCCTTTTGTTAATGCTACCATACTGCCCTCCTACACGATGTAACCCAAGAAAGCTTAGATCAGACATCATGCACCAAGTCTATCACCTACCTAAACCAGCAAGTTGGTAGTATAGACATCATCTATACTGAGGTCATATAACACACTTTATCATACATAGCAAAATCACACGGCGTGGGCAAACATTTTTGATTTTTGCATAACCCATTACCACAATAGAAATATTCACCAGATCACAATTAAAAAATAAACACACCACAGACTCCAAAAAAATAAGAGAAAAATATAGCAAAGATAATAATACTTTTCCAGCCACATTTATTAATCAGGATATATAATTTGTCACACATTCTGCCACCAAACCCTACATGACTTCTCTCCCCCTTCCACAATGCTGTTAAAATGCATCTAAAACAAAAACCAACATTTCTGTTGCCCCTGATCTTCTCACTGTTCCCATACTCATTGTCCGGGGTTCGCATCACCAGAAGAGCAGGTCACAAACAATTAGTTATGAAGTATTTACTCTATCTTGCGGTATCATGGTATGGAATGTCGCAGGTCGACCCAGCCTAAAATGGGTACCAGGATGGCTGTCCTAGGGAAGTAAACACGGCCAGCGTAATGCTGACCACATTACCCGCCTAGTGCCGATTGGTCTGTAAAAATATGGGTGCTCTTCCCATATGCCAGATTAGCCTGAAGGCATAAAAAGGGATGTTTACTTTTTTCTTTACCTATTTACTATATCTGACCTACATTAAAACTATGACATAATGACTTAATTATTCTGAGAATATTTAAATAACTTGGAACCTGCATATTTTAAGTGTCAAATATATGTTCTTTACATACGGTTACAAAAACATAGTTTGTCGTCTAATACAGCATAAATTAATTATATCAGCAATAAACTTTCAAGTTATTGTCAAATTAACATTTCATACTGGTCTCTAAGGCGTCCTTAACTTCTGAGGACATCTCCGTGATGAAGGTCGCTGGTGACAAAACAACAAATGACCTTTATACTTTCTGTTCAGGCTCTGGCAATAAACTTTACAGCCTGTTTTCATTCGTCAATTGTTAGTCTCCCACTTGTATCAGTGCGACCAGTTGCTAGACTACTTTTGACTTCTCAAATCATAAATTTGCTGTAATATCCAAATGTATTTTATGTTGGGTTACATTTCCAGCTTCTCTTATTTCTCTGCTTTTCAACCCTCTCAGTGTTACATAAATAAGATAATGGCAACTTTATGAGCCAACTCACCCGTTTTCTCTATCTCTACTCACATACATAGCTCAGATGTACATCAACATGTATCACCCCAATACACCACCTTTTTTAAGTTCAAAGAAGAGTTAAAATATTTATATAGCAGCACAAAAAAACATCCAGGTCATCCGGCCTACAGTTCCTAACATCATTACTGCTGTGTGGTGGAGGGTCTGTGGAAAAGAAATAAAAACATTTCAAAACAATATCACTATTGTAATATCTCCTCCCTCCCTCCAAGTGATAAATACCAGATTACACAATTTATTGCCAGTCATATTTAACTTTAGTCTCGGCAGGTGTATAATACAAAATAAATCAATATCACACAAATGCAAAACAATAAAATACATATAGCTATTGGTTATGAACTGACCACGGAAAGGAACACATGAAAGGGACATGAGCATGTGTGGAACTGAGAATGTCTAGAGAATGTTGAGTTAACTGATATCCTAGCACTCAGGACATTCCCACAAGTGCTCTATCTCTCATTTTCAGCAGCATGTGCAGAGTTAATTCCAATGGTACCAGTAACCGGCTGATTGTATGAGCGTCTCGTTCCTCCCCTGAATGTTGAGCGTCCGCCAGATTCACTACACTCATTGTAGCTTCTTCTTTTTCTCCACCTTCACCAGCTGTAAACTCCGGTGGTAAGTACAGGTTGTTCATCCACTTCTAGACTGCAGTGTTGCGTGTGCATTCATTTTACAGATATGACTTATTTGTATGCAGACGGTTGGTTCCCTGCCTCTCAGGCAGATGCATTCCAACTTAGAAGGAAGCTCCCAGTTAGTCGGCTCTTACGACATGCTTTAAGGTAGGCAGTGGTTCTATTCTTGTTTTCCCTATAATAGGGCTCCGGAACCCACACAGGGTATCATTATAGCTAAAATAACAGTTAAAATACACTACACATTCAGTCCTGTGTATCAGTAAAACTGTCACCACAGTAATTTTAAAGTGAGTAACATAAAGATATGAATGTGTCTTTGCTATAGTTTTTTCAACACCTTCTGGATTTAACCTAAGAGAGAGGTCTGCATATTTTTGTGTTCTATAGCAAGGCTACGACATAAGTTCTAATCAGTGGCCTTTCACAAGATGTTTGTTAGTGGGCCGGGAAAGGGGCGGGGTCTATTCTTTTTCTGACCAAAATTAAGGCCACAGAAGCCACATGGGGAAATGAAAATTATGATGTCCTTAGGAAAATTATCGTGATGCCTGGTCTTAACAATACTTCAGTGTTTGTGATCTCTGTCTTGTCATTTAGGGCCAAGTATTTTGTTGTTGTTGCAGTAAGCGCCACCACATGAAAGCTATTTACAGTCTGCACATGATCATTTTAGTTAAGAAGCTATATTCACGGCAATGTTACCTACTGGGTAAAAAAAAAAGACACCAGATGACAAACAGAATGCTCTAGAACACTTACTTGGCCCATTCCACGTTGAGAATGAGATGATCGTAACCAAATCCGGACACACCTTGTATAGCCCTTGCTGCATCTTCTCTTCGGTGGAAGTTGATGAAAGCAAAACCCTGGAAAATATCAGATGTTTATGATAATATGCCTTCTGCTACTGTTCTTTCTGCTGTGGTGCTTCACAGATAAGATGCTGTTTACTAGTCAATCTTTCTTTATGTCCAGTATTTTTCTTTTAAAATGTTAATGCAACAATGGTCTAGAATAAAAACACAAGAAAAAAACTATGCATTGTAAGAGATATTCAAAGAATGCATAGTACGTTAACTAATATTTAAGGAGTTAATCAAAGCAAGACAGGAACATGATAATTGCAGTAAAACATCTAGAACAAACTTCTGTACATTTTTTCTTTATAAATAAACGCGGAACCTATGACCCGGGGGTGGTAGGCAAGCATGTTAGCAACTGTGCCATTATACAGTATTTGCACTTTAAATTATTATTTCAGTGTGCGTTACAAAAAAAAAAAGTTTCAGTAAGTAATATCTTACAGCAGTGGCTCACAAGTGGCTAAAACCTATCGGGGAGACGGCCTTAGTTTAAAAATATCTGCTAGGGACACATTTTTTTTAAACAGTGAAAGATTAACTTATAATTATAAATATTAGAATCACAAGAAACACTGTCTAAAAATATATTTAAGGCTGATTATACAAATTAACTCGGGCTGGGCCAAAAGTTGTTACCAGGAAGAAATGGGAAGTGAAACTGTTGTTTTGACACTGACCGCAGTCACTCGTCTGAACTCAGCAGAATAAATACGATTTTGGGTGAGAAAGATCTAAAAAATACATGTGGAAAATATATATCCACAAACATGTGTGAGAAGGGAATAGCAAAAAACTTGGCGTGAGTTGGTTGAAAGCTTATGCTCAAATAGAAGACAAAGGTAGTAAGTAGAACAGGCATTCCTTTCCTCTCTAAGTATTTTTGTGTGGTTAAAACCTATTTTCTTTTCAAATGAACAGGATTTTTTGAAAAAAAAAAACCTTACCTTGGATTGGCCTGTATTTTTGTCCTTGGCCAGATAGATTCTAGAAATGGGACCAAATGGTCTGAACAATTCCTGCAAGTCTGACTCTCGGGTGTCTTCAGAGAGGTTTGTCACACGAATTGTGGCAGCCTCATCTGTCAAATAGAACATGGAAACTGTGTTTACAAACAACTACAGTGAAAAATTGTAAGATAAAAATCTTGTATCAACTGATTCAAAAAAAAAAAAAAAAAGGTACTGTCCCAGTGTGAAGATATTGAAAAAAAAAATCAACTTTAGAACACTATACTTTTCTCATCATAAGACACACCTTATAACAATGCTCAATCTTACCTATGCCACTATGAAAGGCAAGACAAGCATATAATCAAATTGCCACAGGTCCCATCGGCATCAGAACTCTGGCTGAAGATGACGACCGACTAAATATGGGAATGTCTAGACTGCTGAGTTACCTTAAAGTCTGCTAGTTTGAGTCTCCTTTACAGGATGTTGCAGAACCAACCCAAGCCTATTTTAGCTGTTTGTGATTCCACATTTACATTAAGTAGTTGGCCACTGCTTTCTAAACTGCTGGATCTCGATACCATTATGCTGCAAAAAAACTCGAGGCTGTTTTCGAACCTGGCTCCACAGAATTACAAAGCATGTTTGCAACTTTTAAGTCCAAGATCTGTTCAAGGGAGAATATGTAAAACTAAGATTCAAACAACAACCCTGGACATCCTAAACCAAAATTCCATCACCCTGGTTCCCTTAGACAAGATCTGCTAGGGATCACCCCCATGAGACCCAACAAGACAATCTATGGCTATTTTGACTTACCTTTCCTCTGGGTAGCCATAGACTCTCCCCGACCCTTGTTGCCTCCCTCCCTCAGGGTGGGTGGTATATACTTGCCACCAGCTGCCTTTGGAGCAGGAGAGGCTGTTGATGATGCTGGAGGAGCTTCTGTTTTCTTGGCACCTTCCTCCAACTTCTCCTGAAAGGGTTAATGTTTAAAGAGTTAACAATGGCGTAGGTCAAATAAGACAACTTTTGTCTTATATGCTTGTGCAACTTGCAAGTGATTCTATCATATCAAATTACTCATGTTATAGTGCCATTTTTCAGTTCCTGCAGTGTGTTCAGTGATCACTTTTACAGATCATCATCATGTGCTGTGCCGGTAAGCTTAGGCTGTAACATATTACCATCTCATACTATCACCAGAATCATGGATCAGATGTTTTTGTCTCGCCCCATTCGTCTGGTCAGGCCATCCGGGTATTTATCTTTACGCCTTCCTCTTGTTCTTTTTCCATCAGTCTCACCAGATGTTACCAAGTCCAATACTTCTCAAAAATGTCTAAAAACACTGTCTACGTCTAATTGTTATCTTAAGTTTACGACCTCCATCTGTCTCAATGATAATTGCGAGTAAATGTTTTTCAGCTGGTCTGCTCACTGTCAATGTTTCGCTTGCATATAATAAGACAGGTTCTATATAGCACTTTAACACTCTTTCTCTCACTGCAAATGGCAGTTTCTTGTTGGTGAGAATCTTTTGCATCTTGCTAAAGGACATCTATGCCATGGCCAATTGTAATTTCTACAAGGCATTTTGCATCAGATGTTTCAAGGCCGTTGAATAATTAACTTGCTGAAGAATTTTGCCATCTGCATGTATTTTACGCTTTGATATTTCTTTCTTCTTAGTGATTACCATAATTTCCCCTTTCTTGCAATTTAACTCTTAAGCCTAGTTTCTCACTGTAAATTATTACTGCAACCACTACAGACACAGCACTGCACAATCTTCTGGTTCTTCAGCGTGGCCAATTATCTTCATTCTGACCATACCTGAAGCACACATGCCTAATACATTTTCACAGCCTTCTATTATATCTCTTTTTCCAACGAATCCTTACAGCACTTTTTTTGTCCCCAGGTTGACTGCCTAAAATGAGTACTGGGTAATGTACTTGGGAAGTAAAGGTAGTCAGCACAGTACTGACCACAGGTCTGTGAAAATCTAGCACTATTTTCCAGATTTTTCACCAGTATGACACACTCCTGATTTTACTTAACTCTTGCAGCGATTGCCATACAGCCTGTTTTCATGACGCAGAAAAATCATGTACAATTTTTCCTTCTGATATCTGGAGTTGCCCTACAAGTGACAGATACTGTGTATCTTGGAACTCTTTTAGAAAATCACTATGGCATTTGGATAACGATTACAATGAACATAACTCTTAAAGCTTAAAGGTAGTGGATGCAGAGCTGTCAGAGGTCAATCTGTAAATGTATGTATCTGTTGCAGTACGACCAGAGCTCAATTTATGAGTGTATTTGGTTGCAGTACGACCAGAGGTCAATTTATGAGTGTATTTGGTTGCAGTACGACCAGAGGTTAATCTGTGAACGTATGTATCTGTTGCAGTACGACCAGAGGTCAATTTATGAGTGTATTTGGTTGCAGTGCGACCAGAGGTTAATCTGTGAACGTATGTATCTGTTGCAGTACGACCAGAGGTCAGTCTATGAGTGCCTTTAGCTGTGGTTGACTTGAGCTGTTATTTAAGTATATAAATCACCAACCTGTAGAGGCTGAAGTGTGTCCTTGTATGGACACTTTGTTGTCCAGTGATCACCTTTACAGATACGGCACTGCACAATCTTTTGGTTCTTCAGCTTGGCCAAGGGGTCTTCATCCTCCGGTGCTGCTTGCTGTCATAAGAGAGGGTTAAAAAATAACTGAATGAAAGTTGTGTAATAGGGCTAGGGGCGAAGAACAAGAAATAACTAAACTAGCGCTACAGAGTAAAAGTCTGTGTGTTCAATAATTTTTAAGTATTGGCTGCTTTTTATATGCAAGGCTAAAGTCCAGAACTTTCTGCCAGAGTACATAAAAAAAAAAATGAATGCCTACAGTAAAAAGTATAAATACAAAGAAGAGCAACGGTGGTTTTACTAATCTCCTTTCACTGACTGCAAACCAGCTGAAAGTCCTGGTTGTTTGTCCACGTTCGGTCTTGTTCCAGAACTTGTGTTCTGCATGTACGTCCATTTTACAGATCTAGCTTATGTATATGCAGCCTTCTGACTCCTGGCCACTAAGGCAGGTGCACATCGATTTCTAAGTATGCACCTTTAATTAGTCCACTTTTACGACATGCTTGTTAGACGAGAAGTGAGTATTATTTTTACCCCCTCAATAAAGCCCTTGAACCAGCACAGCGTATTCACTAATAAATAAGCACTAACTCATAAACAATTGCTTTTTTAAGTACCCTGTAACTTATACATAAAAAAAGCTACTATGTCTACTTCAAGGTTACTGACTCATGAGTCCATGGGAAAGCTGCAGTGGCTATAGAGTGCCACTGAGCTGTAAACAGACAACCCAAAACAGGCATGCTTCATGCAGAGTGGCAAGCATAAATTCTGAGGTCCAGCGCAGTTGGCATCCTTTGGATATTTTCTCCGGATAATGCCGCTGTGTAGGCAAATGAGCAGGCAGATAGACTGGCTGGCTCTGCTCCACTTAGTGGTAAACTGATGTATGACAAGTTAGATATTGTGAGGGCCCTTTTGGAGTGAGTGAACAGTGCGGAGGGGCAGATAGATCATTACGGTCTGAGGAGAGTGGCACTGCTGGGAGTTACCAGGGGATCTGGCTGACGCTCAACACTTAGCGGAAGGATGAGACATAGATACAATCAGACAGTTACTGGTACCATCGGAATTGGAAGGCCGTGCTTGCTGCTGAAGATGTGGACTGAGCACTTATGGGAGTATCCCCAGTGCTGTGATGTCGATTCTTAATTCAATATTCAAGCAACCCAGCACAATTTTACCAAAAAACAAGGAACAAGTATTTCATACCTCCTTATTTTGTACAAACTGCATAAAGACCTCCTCAGTTAAGATTGTATTTGCAGGGTTAGGTCCAGGAGGATCATTGGCTGCTGCTCCAAACTTCTTCCACATCTGAAATTATTTCAAAATATATTTTCAACACCATCAAGAAAAAGCCACTATGGCATAATAGTGCATTTGCTTTCACAGCACTAGAGATGGTCAACTATATGGGAGTCGCAGGTGAGAGACTTATCCTGAAGGTTCCCCCAGGCAGCAACGTGTAGTAAAACTATATCAACAGATTGGGAGATTGCCATCATTTTACCTATATTTAAAAAAGGGTAATAACAGACAATGTGAAAATCACAGAGGCATATCTCTCTCCTTAGCTTTCCAGGTAAAAGTTACTCTAGAATTCTTGAGCAGAGACTGAGAAGTCTGGCAGAACCACAGCTTGATCAGGCCCAATACAGATTCAGATCAAATCAAAGACCTTATTTTCACACTCAGACAGGTAAGCGAAAAAGCCCTTGAATATTAGAGTGAGATTCGTCTAAATTTTTTTTTTGCATCTAGAAAAGGTTTTCTGGAGCAAGCTCGGAACTGCTTTGCAGGGAAAAACATTCCAGGTCCCTGATCAGTGCAATAAAGAATTTCTAAAAAAGCTGAAGAAATTATGTAAGAACAACTGACCAAAACAATTCGAGAGCACTAGCAGTGTTAGACAAGGTGATACATTCTCTCACCTCACCTCTTCATTCTAATGATGGATCATGTCAGCAAGACCTGTAAGGAGAAGACAGAAGTACTCAGTAGGGTACTGGAAGATGAGACCAATCTGTATATCAGAGTCTTGATCAGAAGCTAAATCAGAGGCACATCCTCAATCCAACTTACTTGCTTGAGAAGAGAAGGGATGACCCTGAGTATCTCCAATACTAAAATGATGAGACAGAATGCACTGGAGCAGGTCAACCAGTTCAAATACCTTGCAGTTGTAACAGGCTCAAATGGAGGCATAAGATAGAGCTGGCTACTCAAAAAGCAGCTGATGGGAAACTTTTCCGGGTCATCTTTTTCTCTGTTCACCAGCTGCGAGCTCCAGCGGAATGTACTGGTTATTCGCCCATTTGGACTTTGGCTTTGGGCTATGGACTAAGTGGTGCATGTACATCCGTTTTACTGGCTTATTTGTGTGCAGTTGGTTGTTTCTTGTCATTTTGGCAAATGCATTCCAACTCTGAAGGAAGCTCCCCAAAAAGTCGACTCTTACGACATGCTCTTTCAGATAGACAGTGGGTCCATTCTTGTTTTCCTTACAAAGGGACCCAGAGACCCACACGAGGATTCCAGGCCATAAACTTAGGGTTTCCTAGCAAAAGAGAAATTGACAAGAGGACAAAAATGGCCGTTCACAACTCTACCCATGTGCCAGTCCTGACCTACGGGTGTGAGTCAAGGGCAATGACAACAGCTCACAGAAGCCATCTCTACGCCTCAGAAATGAGATATCTGAGAAAAATGCTCCAAGTGCAAAAAGTTTGCAGCCAGACAATACGCCAAGATCTTGGCCTTACAAACAGAAACAGTCACGGTTACGACGATTTGGACATCGTATGCAGAGAGAATCAGCCACCTTGGCAGGTTAAAGACCAGGCAACCAGACCTCCAGGGTCTGCTGGGAAGACAAGGTCTGCTGGGAAGACAGGGTCTGCTGGGAAGACAGGGTCTGTTGGGAAGACAGGGTCTGCTGGGAAGACAAGGTCTGCTGGGAAGACAGGGTCTGCTGGGAAGACTGGGTCTGCTGGGAAGACAACATCTGACAGAGGACTGCAATGGAACTAAGCTAAAAAGAAAACTGCTGATAAAAAAGAGTAGTGATCTCTGTGGCAAAACTCTACACCCTAATGTAGAAGAGGAGTGACTAAGTAAGCAAAGTGTAATCACTCAGTATGTGGTCCTAGCGGGATACGACTCCATAAACTGCAATGCCATTCTGGTTTGTCCTCTAAATGACACAAAAACTTCAGCCAAATCCAATCAAGTCATTGAAGTCTGGTTGAATCTTGCAGCTAAAGTTGTCTATAAAGCCCTTGATAACTAGCCTCAAATAACTTCTGTAATCAACTCTTACAACATGCATGGTAGGTCAGTGCGATTATTCTTCACTTCCCTTGTGGGCTCCGTAACAAATGGCGCGCCCCTAACTTCAGGGAGGGGAAAGTGTAAAAACACCAGGCACTTACCTTTCTCTTGGCCACAGACTTTGACAGACGAACTGTCTCAATTTTGAATGTCCGAATAATCTGAGAAAAATAAATTAAAATATTAGCAAACCAGTTCAGATCAGAAAAAAAAAAAACTGACAACAAACAACATTTATCTGCTGAAATGATTGGGGTACAAAAGAGTATGTACTTACTGAACACCATCCATTTGTGGCTGTTATAGATTCAGCTTCAGTCGTGCACATGGCAAAATGTAGTAACAGATCTTGTCTATCCCTACTGAAGAATATATATTGCTAGCGCCATTTCTTTTTTCACTGACAAATCAGCATTCAATGGGTTACATTGTTAATACCACACAGGGCATCTTTACCTTGTAAAATATTTCCTGGAGAAATATCACAGAGCCACAGAAATGAAGTATAATATCTTTTACAGAATATCATTCCTTCTGCGACCCACCAGAAAGCCACTCTCTTGTCAGTCGTCTACCTTATGTATTTTCATGTGCGTCCCTAATTTATTGTGTACAATTTTGACACGTGTCTCCTTTCGGGAAACCCAACTTTGCAGAATAATTCAAGTAGTTAAATTCTCATACAAAAAGTTTGGTAGCCCTTGTGCTCTACACATTGAGGCATCTCGGACTGATGACTGTGTGCCAAAAAAAAACAAGACCACTGACAAACGCCTGCGACAATTAGAATGCAAAAATTACTGCTGTTCTATAGCAAGTGCAGGATACTGAATTTCTTACTGATCATCCTTAGATTAACAGCGATATGTGCGCTTGTCGACCGACACATCCGACTCGTGCAGGCATTTGCTGACCAAGTCAGGTCAGGTCTTTTGTTTCCTAGGTCACAGGTCGTGCCCCACATCTGACTGGTTTAGAGAAGCCAAGTAATGCTTGTCAGTCCTTAAGAGAAGGCAGGGAAAGAACATCAGCATTCCTCGCCATCCCAGGAGGCTATCTTTAATGCAGAGCCAATGGCTGCAGAATTAAACAAGACTAACCTTGATCAATTTTCCATCATCATTGTTTTTGTACTCTGTGATTGTCTTGGTCCCCTTTTTTTCATCATACTCCTCAATAGGTGGAGGGAGAGTCCCTGAAATAAACATAAGATCAATAAAAATGTGGTTGAGACAGCACTAACGCATCAGGCTGCCACATTTGCTATGGGGAGTACTAATCCTAAGACAGGCAGGATTTATCTATCACAGGTCCCCGTGTGGATTCAGGGCCACCTCTATGGAGAAAACAAGAAAAGACCCACAGCCTACCCAGAAGCTGTTGTAAGAGTCAACTAATTGGCTGCTTCCTTCAAATTTGTATTGCATCTGCCTGAGAGGCAAGGCATCAACAGTCTGCACAAAATAAGTCAGATCTGTAAAACAGATGTGCCCGCAAAACTTAGGTTCTGTAGTAAGACTAAAATCCTGAGATGGACGAACAACGAGAACTTACCACTGGAGTTTACAGACAGTGAGGAAGAAGATCTATCACAGGCAGGCCAAAGATGTCATAAGACCAGGAGTAGCAATAAGAGACATACATCTCTAGGTGGTGGAACTTATAATGGTAATCAGCTAATAGTAGTTCAAACTTCACAAAACACCCCATAGCTGCTCCATTTGTGTCCCAATGAAAACCTTACAGAATTTTTGTCACAGCTCCTTGTGAAATAAAAAGTGAGCAGCGTGGAGGACATTTGGCGGTGGCGGTAGAAGCCGGAAAACCGCAATTGACACGTGACTAAGGCTCTGTTAGGATGTTTTTGCGGGCGCCATCTTTTGTGCCCGTTATTCGGAGGATAGCAGAATTCTTTTTGATCAAGTAAAAATATATGATAAACACAACATTACACATCTAAAAAAATCCAGGAGTGAACAATACATCATAGAATGTGGTGTGATTTTAATGTTATTTAATAACTGTTGCAACACTGATGATCCTTAAATAGTTTACTGTAGTTTAGTTTACATGCATTTCTGATTCTGAATTCATTTCTCTATGATTTGATGTATTTTTTGGCACTGTATACAGTTATTATTTTTTCAAAGTTTCATCATGCTGCTGTAAAACAAATTCAGCTCAAAATATGCTGTCCGAAGCCCAGAAAGATAATTACTGAACTCACTAAACTATAAACTGCATAAACGTACTGAACGACGCAACACGGAAAATTTTTTTAAAAAATTATCAAATAATAAATAAACCGCCCACCAGAAGTAGGATCGAACCCAGCTAACCGCCGAGGATTGCAGTGTGAAACCACTTCACTAACTTCTTCCCGAACAGATCCGACCTAGATCAGTTACAGTAATGCCAATCTTTCCTTCCCTTCTCCGTGGGTCAAGATTATTTTAACGGGCACGAATCTCAGGAAGAAAAAAATTAAATAAAAATGGAATCCAGACACGAAGAGTCACGTTGCTACTCAGCTACTGTACATTAAATCATGTCTTACCTTCATCCCCTAAGTCCACCTGCTCAGCCCAACTCTTTCCACTAGTCCTGAGATAGAAATAAGTAAATAAAGTTAGTATTAACAATGACGTCACAATGACGTCACGGGAGACATTCCCAATAAATTCCAGGGTGTTCAGGTTGTAGTTTCTCGCGGTTTCTCTACATCCAAGTTCACATCGCTTGACTATGACGTGCAGTGTTGCCACTGCCCAGAGGTCGACAACACATAACATAGACCGCAGAAATATCAGAGACATTGACAAGTACTTTATACGAAGCGAACAGAATAACCCGTTTCATAGATATATTCCTGTTCTGACTCCGCAAGACATTCCATGAGTAGAGAAAAGAAGAAGTAGAAGAAGAAGGCGCCACCTGAAAAAGCTTGGAGAACACTGATCTATAGCAACCATACCTGTCTAAGC